CCTCTGAGCATTCTTGCACGCTATGTTGCTCCTGGGAGACACAGACCAGAGCACATGGCTGCAGCGAAGAGGGTATTGCGCTACCTGTGCAGTACGTCGGGCATGGGGCTAGTGCTTGGAGGGCGGAGTCCAGTGGTCCTTACCGGCCACGCGGACGCTTCTTGGGCTGACGACCAGGCTACGCAGCGGTCGTCACAGGGTTACACCTTCAGCCTTGGTTCCGGCTCTGTCTCGTGGCGGTCTACTCGCTCGTCTTCGGTTCTCGGCTCCAGTTGTGAGGCTGAGATCTACGCCGGGGCCATGGCTGCACAGGAGCTTCGCTGGCTCACCTACCTGCTGACTGACCTTGGAGAGCCGCCTCGTTCTCCTCCAGTGCTGTACGTAGACAACAAGGCCTCGCGCTTTGGTTGTCGCAAAGTAACGAGAAATGCCCGTTCATCGTCACTTTCGCTTCTTGCAGGAGCTCCACCAGGTACAGTCCTTCGCGAACAGCTGCGCTGGCTGCGATGAATTCTGTTTCTGCTGACGAAAGAGCGATGAGTTCCTTCCTGCTTCTGAGAATTCCAAGAGATGAGTCCCGCTGGTTGGAGTTGAAAGATGAATCTGTGAAAGTTTAGAAGAAGAGGGTTGCACTAGCAAGAATGAGGATACAAATAGCAAACCCTAGAAGGGTTGTACTCGCTATAGAGCACCCCACTACAGGCTGGAGCATAATATTCTGACACACCCCCATAGCCAAAGTGGGGTGTAATCAGCAGAGCAAGCAAAGTAGTACAAGCTCAGGGTGGATCACAATGTCACCACACATTCTGAGCACAAGTTCAAGAAGCAATAGTTTAAGTTCACAATTATGAGCAAAGCTAGAGGCTATCGCAGAGGGCATGTGTGGAGGAGGAGGGACTATGAGGGAGAGAAGAGGGGAGGCGACTGCTGACGCTGCAGACACACAGACGAGCTGCTGGCTCAGTGGCTACCGGAACAGCGCTCCGGACTACTGGAGTAACTGGCCCCGTGGCTAAAGTAGCGGCAGACGAGCAACGGACCCACGGGCGACTGGCGACTACCGGAGATTGTAGCCTTCGGACTGCTGCTGCTGCTGACGACAAGACTGCTGCCTCCACTCAACCTCCCCCAGCTGCCCAACGCCCCTCTCATACACCCACTGCTACACCCCTACCTCCACTCCACCTTCACCCCCCCTTAGTACCACTCCACCGGCTCCAACAAGTCCACCCCCCCTCAGCGGCAACTGCAGCACAAGGAGACGGAGGAGGAGGAGGAGCAGGGGAGACCACACACCCGCCACCCCCCAGGTCGCGGCCCCCGAAGGAGCCGCGACGGGCGGCGGGAAAAAGGGGGGGGGGGGGGGGAGGCGGTGCCGTAGGTAGGGCGACGGGGCCGAGCCGTAGGTAGGGCGACGAGGCCGGTACGCAGGGAGGGCCACGGGGCCGGGGCGCAGGTAGGGCGACGGGGCCGGGGCCGAGGCGCAGGTAGGGCGACGGGGCCGGGGCCGAGGCGCAGGTTGGGCGACGGGCCGCAGGTAGGGTGGCGGGACGATGGGGCCGCTGGCGGCGGTTCGGGGCCGATAGGAGCGGCGACGGGGGGCGACGCGCGGCCCCCCCCCCCGTCGCCCGTCGCAGCGCCTCCCGGGGGCGACGCGCCGAGTGACGGGGCAGAAACCCGTCGCGCGCCTCGGGGCGCACGGCGGGCAGAAAACCGCCGCGCGCCTCGGGGCGCACGACGGGCAGAAAACCGCCGCGCGCCACGGGGCGCACGGCGGGCAGAAAGCCGCCGCGCGCCTCGGGGCGCATGGCGGGAAGAAAAAATTGCCGCACGCCACTGGGCGTGCGGCACAGAGAGTAGCAGTAGCAGTTGCAGCGGAATCAACGAGGTGGTGAGCCCACCCACAGGATCGATCCAAGGGGATCGACCTGCTCTGATAGCATGTGAAAGTTTAGAAGAAAGAAGAGGGTTGCGCTAGCAAGAATGAGGATACAAATAGCAAACCCTAGAAGGGTTGTACTCGCTATAGAGCACCCCACAACAGGCTAGAGCATAATATTCTGACAGAATCCTGTGCGGGAGCGTCGGCTGTCAACATCTCCAGCGTGGTCGGCATCTACGTAGGTCGTGCTTTAATTGATCGTTTTGCAAATTCAAAATTTGCCTTAGGTTTTCTTGATTATTTGTCGCTGCTTTCTCTTCCAACGCTACTCCAGGCATTAGCGCCACTCACGCCTAGTGTAGCTACTCGCCACTACGTCACCATAGCTCCTTAATGTCTTGTTCTTCCCTGTCGTCTCTCTTCCGTCCACTCGCCTGTGCAACTTATCTCTTCTTGGTTCCTATGCACACACATGCGCACACTCACAGGTAGGTCGTTTTACAGCCTAGATGCACTTTAGCCACCTACGTCCTCATTTAAGTATGCCGTTTTCTGTATAGATTCCTTCCCTTTCTTTATCACGTTCTGCCACTTCTCCCGTGATCATATTTCCCCCTCCCCTCTTGTTACCTTCTTATTTCCAGCCTACTAGTACTATGTTTTTGTTCTACGTTTTCTCCTTTGTTCCTACTTTCCGTGTTCTTTACGCGTCCTTAATCTCTGTGGCTTCTTCTATTTCTTACGTTCGTTCATTTGTTCTCTGCTTCTTTGCATATTTGCTTCGTTTTTCTCCTTTGCTCTACAAACGACTTGAGTCATATGCCTATAATATTTGCTCACCGTTTGAAGTACCTGATAAAAAACGAGGAATGTGACGAGAAGTGAGAATGGAATGGATGAACTATGAAACAGTTGGGTACAAGTACTAACCCTAATTGGGTTGTACCCCTTATGGGCTACCCCACTACAGCCTACACAAATGTATAAGCTATAATGTTCTGACACACCCCCATAGGCAAAATGGGGGGGAACAAGTGGTCATAAGACCAGTCAAGCAAAGCAAAACAAAGCAAAGTAAAGCAAGCTCAGGGTGGATCACAAAGTCACCACACAGTCCGAGCACAAGAGGAAGGCCACAAGGCCAGTTCAAATGCAAGGTCATATATATAAAGGTAAAACAAGCAAAGGCAGGTACAGACAGAATACAGTACAAACAAGATCAAGAAGTGAGCAAGTGAGACCAGGTAGGCACAAGACCTAGCACAGTACAGAAGCGCTGATGATCACAAGGCGGAAGGGCCTTGGTGAAGATATCAGCAGTGTTGGCCTCAGAGGCCACGTACGCAAGGCGCAGCTGACCACGCTGCTGCAGCTCACGAGACAGGAAGTAGCGGAGAGCAATGTGCTTCGTTCTGTGCTCCAGTCTGTGCTCCCGACACAAGGCCAGCATGGCCTTATTGTCTACGTACAGAACTGGAGGAGAACGAGGCGGCTCTCCTAGGTCAGTCAGCAGGTAGGTGAGCCATCGTAGCTCCTGTGCAGCCATGGCTCCGGCGTAGATCCCAGACTCACAGCTAGAGCCGAGAACAGAGGACGAGCGGGTAGACTGCCACGAAACAGAGCCGGAACCAAGGCTGAAGGTGTAACCCTGTGACGACCGCTGCGTAGCCTGGTCGTCAGCCCAAGAAGCGTCACCGTGACCTGTGAGGACTACTCGACGTCACCCTCCAAGCACTAGCCCCGTGCCCGACGTACTGCACACGTAGCGCAACACCCTCTTCGCTGCAGCCATGTGCTCTGGTCGGTGTCTCCCAGGAGCAACATAGCGTCCCAAGATGCTAAGAGGGTATGCAAGGTCAGGTCGTGTGCAGGTCATCAGGTACATGAGGCAGCCAACAAGCTCTGGGTACGGGCCACTAGACTCTACGGACTCATCCGAAGGCAGAGCTGAGAGCGAGTGGCGAGTAGACAGAGGAGTGGCCTGAGGCAAGGAGTACGTGAAGCTGAAGCGCTGAAGGACCTGCTGCACCATGTGTGACTGAGTCAGGGTAATGGGGCGCTGTGCTTTGTCCCGGGTGATCCGCAATCCAAGGTAGCTGCGCAATTCACCCAGGTCTGTGCACATGTTTCTCTTCTGTAGCTCGGATTTCACGTGGGCGAGTCCAGCAGTGTCAGCAGTGGCAAAGACCAAGTCGTTGACGTACACGAGGATGTAGAATGGCGGCAAAGAGGTGTCGGTGCGTAGAAACAGCGACGGGTCGTCTGTAGAAGGAGCAAACCCAAGAGCCGCAAGCGTAGTCCTCATTGTGTCGTGCCACTCACGGGGCGCCTGGCGGAGACCGTAGACTGGCCATCGGAGGCTCCACTGGGTACCAAGAGGAAACGACCCAGTGAAGCCAGGTGGGCGGCGCAGCCAGATCTCCTTGTGCAAGGTGCCCTTCAGGAAAGCAGTACTGAAGACAAGAGAGTGAAGCTCGTAGTCGCGCTGAGCGGCTATGTGCAGCAGCACCCGAAGAGTGGTCATCATCGGGGTGGGAGAGAAGGTCTGAAAGTAGTCAACTCCCTACCGCTGACTGAAGCCTCGAGCCAGGTAACGCGCCTTGAAGACAGGCGGAGAGCCCGGCAGCCGCTTCACGCTAAAGACCCACATGCCACCGACGATGTTCGCCCCAGGTGGGGGAACCTCGTTGACGTAGGTGCTTGTGGACTTCCAGGAAGCCATCTCTGCGTCCATGGTTGACTTCCACTGAGAGGAGTAGGGACCCTCGATCGCCTCAGCGTACGATCGAGGAGTCGGGATGTCTGGTCTCCCTCAGAGGCAATCACCGTGGACACGAGATGGGGCAAAGCAGCCGCAAAGCACTGGAACTCCTCCTGCCTGTCCTCAAGGACGTCCGTGCTAAGAGCACACTCACCCCCGACAGACGGAGGACAGACACACTCAGACTCAGCAACTAGGCTGGCAGAGTAGTCTAGACGCCAGCGAGCTGCGAAGTCGACAAGCTCACCAACCAGAGCAGACGCAGCAGCGGAATCAAAAGAAGGGCCAGTGACAACAGTAGCAAGAAGGCGCGTGTCTGAAGGACTAGCAACACGAAGGGAGTCAGACTCCGGGTCAACAAGAGAAGGAAGAGAGGACCCTGGAGGAGTCGGCAAAGGGAAACGCAGAGGAGCAGTGGACAGACGCAGTGCCATCTGGTGTGTGCCGGGGACCGCAGGAGGACGCGGACGGGCAGCAGGACGACTAGTGCAAGCAGCACGAAGAGACAACGCAGGAGGAGACGCAGGCTCACGACGCTCAGCAAGACCTCCAGTAGGACAAGTGTAGGGAGAAGGAGCAGGTAGAGGGGAGGCGGGCTGTAACTGTGACTGCGACTGGACAGGCAGTGAACACTCTAAGGAAGGAGCAGGACCAGTAGAGGGCGGGAGACCAAGAACCTGCTCGAGGAGCGGAACGAAGTACGGCCTCGGCCGCTAAGCGCCTCCAGATTCAGCAAGGACGGGACTAGTACCCCTAGCAGCAGCATCAGCGCCAGCACCACCTCCAGCTCCAACAGCGCCAACTCCAGTACCCTCAGAAGCACCAGCGCTAGCAGCACCGCTAGCGCCAACACCCCCAGCAGCTCCAGCTCCAGCAGCACCAACTCCAGGAGGACCGTCAGCACCAGCAGCCTCAGCAGCACCCCCAGACACAACATCGCCAGGAGAAACACCAGCACCAACGCCCCCAGACAACGAGGGGAGGTAGAGACCAGACAAGGTGCCACATGGGGCTGCAGGGCACGGAAGGACAGTGGAGAAGCTAGCAAGGACAGGACCCCCAGAGGGGTCTGCGAGGGAGACTGCAACTGGCCGACTAAGCGGCGTAAGAGTGATGCGGTCTTGAAAGAAGGAGCGGGACGCACCCGAGTCCAGGGTGAAGGTGTGGAAGAGCTGAGCCGACGTAGTACCTGAGAGAGCAGACTCACCAGCACCTGGGGCGGCAGACGCACTAGCACCTAGAGCAGCAGTCTCACCAGCACCTAGCGCAGCAGCCTCAATGCCCGGGTCATGCAGTACACTCAGGTAATAGGCACCCTCAACACTATCAGCAACAGCATACATGGCAGCAAGAATAGCATCAAAGTCAAGATCAAAGATAGCAACCCTGGCCTTAGCCAGATCTCCCCAGCGAGGGATCTTTGACGCCTCAAGGAACTGGCGACGCCATGCGTCCGTCAGGCGACCAAAGCAGCGCTGGGTGGAGTGCGGACCTCCGCACTGCTCACCAGCGCGGTCGCCGGTACGGAGGACGTAAGAGTAGTTACTTAAATCCCCACCGCGCTAGCGTGCAGTGTACCACTCACGAAGCTGCTGAGGGGACATGGTCACACCACTCCGCTGCTGCTGGTGGCGCTGACCACCACCAGAGCCACTCCTCGGCGCAGAGTCGCGACTCGCTCCACCACCGCCGCCTCCGCCTCCATCGCCGCCTCCGCCGCCTCCGCCGCCTCCTCCACCTCCGCCTCCTCCATTACCTCCGCCGCCTCCGCTCCCTCCGCCATCTCCACCGCCTCCGCCGCCTCCATTGCTGCCGCCGCCGCCACCACCCCCGGCACCACTCCCACCATCACCCCCACTCCCTCCATCGCCTCCACCCCCACCTCCACCGCCCCCTCCACCCCCTCGAGTGCCCTTGCCCCCCTTGCCCTTGCCAGGGCGGCGTCTCCCGCTTGGGGCAGACGCAGCGCCAACCGACTCGAAACCAACGAGGTCGGCCGCAGCAGCAGAGGCAACAGAGGGCAAGAGGGGGGAGGGAGAACACCCCTCAAAGACGGGGGTGCGAGGGTCACCACGAGAGGCTCCTACAGCGATTTTGCTCTTCTCTATCGCTAGGAGGGCCTTCTCGAGGAGGTCAACGGTGAGAGTGGTGGGGCAAACAGAGAAAAAGTGGTCCCTGACTAAGCGAGGAGAGTCAGGGAGCCGGGTGACTATGTAGTAGAGGGTGATGTACATGGGGGTGGGGGTTCTTGGCGCAGAAATCTTCAGGAAGGGCAGCGCGGTAGCGAGTGTCAAGAGTGCGGAGGTGCGTAATGAGGTCAGCGACAGTGGGAAAGGCAGCAAGGTCAGGGAAGAGGAACGGTAGCATGAGGCGGCTCAGTGCAGTAGTGGCAGGTCTGAGCACTCTTGTACTGGCTAAAGTGCGCACGCTCAGTGGTCGGTAAGTGGCGGCGAACAGCAAGGCGAGCAGCAGCATCATGTGTGGCCCACTGAGAGCGAACAGTGGTGTCAGCATCAGCAGCAGGGGCAGGGGAGGCACCAGAAGTGAGGTCAAACAGGGAGAGACCGTCTGCCCTATCGCACTGCAGAAAAAGCTGCAGTCCATCTACCCAGACCTCAAACTCCACTGCCTGACCCTCAGCGTCAAAGGTGAGAATGCTAGGGGAAGCCATAACAGCAGTAGGCAGGCACTGAGTACAGTGAGGCAGGGCAGTGCAGTGGCAGAGACTGGGCTCTTACTAGGCAGGTGGGGCGATCGGGCTGCTCGGCGTCTCGGCTGTTGGGCGGCTCGGCTGCTGGGCGGCTCGGCTGCACGGTGCTGGGCGGCTCGGCTGCTGGGCGGCTCGGGCGGTCGGGCGGCTCAGCTGCCCGTCGCAGCGGGCGTTGGGCGGCGGGGTCGCAGATGGCGGCCGGCCGCAAGGGTGGGCGGGGCCGCGGTGGCGACGGGACGGGGCCGTGGCAGGGGCCTAAGAGGGGCCGTAGTGGGGCCGACGGGGTCGTAGCGGGGGCGACGTGGGGCCTAAGTGGGGCCGACGGGGCCTAAGCGGGGCCTAAGCGGGGCTGACGGGGCCGACGGGGCCGTAGCGGGGCCGACGAGGCCTAAGCGGGGCCGACGGGGCCTAAGTGGGGCTGACGCGGCCGTAGCGGGGCCGTAGCTGGGTCGTAGCGGGGCCTAAGCAGGGCCGACGGGGCCGTAGCGGGGCCGTAGCAGGGCCGTAGCAGGGCCGACGGGGCCTAAGCGGGGCCGTAGCGGGGCCTAGGCGGGACCAACGGGGCCTAAGCGGGGCCGACGGGGCCGTAGCGGGGCCGTAGCTGGGCCGTAGCGGGGCCGACGGGGCCTAAGCGGGGCCGTAGCGGGGCCTAAGCGGGGCCGTAACGGGGCCGACGGGGCCGTAGCGGGGCCGTAGCGGGCGGCTCAAGGGGCAGTAAGGGCGGCCAAAAGGGGCCACTAAGGCGGCTCGGGGCGCTACTCGGGTTAGGAGCTAAGCGCGCCTCGGGCAGGAAAGGAAAAAAAGTTCATGGTGGGCCCTAGGCAGTATTCCCATTCGGGAACGTGCTCGATACCATGAAGAGAAGTGAGAATGGATGAATGAACTATGAAAGGGTTGGGTACAAGTACTAACCCTAATTGAGTTGTACCCCATATGGGCTACCCCACTACAGCCTGTGAAGTAAGGAAAACAGGAATGGAAATGACTAAGGAAAGATTGGGTACAAATACAACCCTAGAAACCCTGTACCCCATATGTGCTACCCCACTATAGCCTACAAACATGCATCAGCTATAAAACTCTGACACACCCCCATAGGCTAAGTGGGGGAGAACAAGGGGTCACAAGACCAGTCAAGCAAAGCAAAGCAAGCTCAGGGTGGATCACAAAATCACCACACAGTCCGAGCACAAGAGCAGGGCCAGAGGCCAGTTCACATGCAGGAGTACAGACATATATATATAAAACTAGACAAGCAAGAGCAGGTATATATATGTCACAGTACACGTGAAGTCAAGAGGAGAGCAAGTGAGGCAAGACAGGCACAAGACCCAGCTGGGTGCAAAAGCGCTGATGGTCACAAGGCGCGAGTGCCTTGGTGAACACATCAGCAGTGTTGGCCTCAGAGGCCACGTACGCAAGTCGCAACTGACCACGCTGCTGCAGCTCACGAGCAAGGAAGTAGCGGAGAGCAATGTGCTTCGTTCTGTGCTCCAAGCGCTGCTCTCGACACAAGGCCAGCATGGCCTTGTTGTCTACGTACAGCACTGGAGGAGAACGAGGCGGCTCTCCAAGGTCAGTCAGCAGGTAGGTGAGCCAGCGAAGCTCCTGTGCAGCCATGGCCCCGGCGTAGATCTCAGCCTCACAACTGGAGCCGAGAACCGAAGACGAGCGAGTAGACCGCCACGAGACAGAGCCGGAACCAAGGCTGAAGGTGTAACCCTGTGACGACCGCTGCGTAGCCTGGTCGTCAGCCCAAGAAGCGTCCGCGTGGCCGGTAAGGACCACTGGACTCCGCCCTCCAAGCACTAGCCCCATGCCCGACGTACTGCACAGGTAGCGCAATACCCTCTTCGCTGCAGCCATGTGCTCCGGTCTGTGTCTCCCAGGAGCAACATAGCGTGCAAGAATGCTCAGAGGGTATGCAAGGTCAGGTCGTGTGCAGGTCATCAGGTACATGAGGCAGCCAACAAGCTCTGCATACGGACCACTCGACTCTACGGACTCATCCGAAGGCAGAGCTGAGAGTGAGTGGCGAGTAGGCAGAGGAGTGGCCTGAGGCGAGGAGTACGTGAAGCCGAAGCGCTGAAGGACCTGCTGCACCATGTGTGACTGAGTCAAGGTAATGGTGCGGCGTGCTCTGTCCCGAGTGATCTGCAAGCCAAGGTAGCTGCGCAGTTCACCCAGGTCTGTGCACGTGTGTCTCTTCAGCAGCTCGGACTTCACGTAGGCGAGTCCAGCAGTGTCCGCTGTGGCAAAGACCAAGTCCTCGACGTACACGAGGATGTAGAACGGCGGCAGGGAAGTGTCGGTGCGAAGAAACAGCGACGGGTCAGCAGTAGAAGGAGCAAACCCAAGAGCCGCAAGCGTAGTCCTCAGTGTGTCGTGCCACTCACGCGGTGCCTGGCGGAGACCGTAGACTGGCCGTCGGAGGCTCCACTGGGTGCCAGGAGGGAAAGTCCCAGTGAAGCCAGGTGGACGGCGAAGCCAGATCTCCTCGTGCAGGCTACCCTGCAAGAACGCAGTGCTGAAGTCGAGAGAGTGAAGCTCGTAGTCGCGCTGAGCGGCTATGTGCAGCAGCACCCGAAGAGTAGTCATCTTCGGGGTGGGAGAGAAGGTCTGAAAGTAGTCAACTCCCTGCCGCTGACTGAAGCCACGAGCAACGTACCGTGCCTTGAAGACAGGTGGAGAGCCCGGCGGCCGCTTCACCCTGAAGATCCACATGCCACTGACGATGTTCGCCCCAGGAGGGGGAACCGCGTCAACGTAGGTGCCTGTGGACTTCCAGGAAGCCATCTCTGCATCCATAGCTGCCTGCCACTAAGAGGAGTAGGGACCCTCTACGGCCTCCGCGTAAGAACGCGGAGTCGGGATGTCTAGTGCATCTGGGTCTCCCTCAGGGGCAAGCAGTACAGACGCGAGATGAGGTGAAGCAGCCGCTAGACACTGTAACTCCAGCTGCCTGTCCTCTAGGACGTCCGTGCCAAGAGCACACTCACCCCCGACGGACGGAGGACAGACAGACGCAGACTCAGCAACAAGACTAGCAGCGTAGTCGAGACGACAGCGAGCAGCAAAGTCGACGAGCTCAGCGACTAGAGCAGACGCAGCAGTGGACTCAAAAGAGGGGTCAGTGACGACAGTAGCAAGCAGACGCGTGACAGTAGGACTGGCAGCACGAAGAGAGTCCGACTCAGGGTCGGCAAGCGCAGGAAGAGAGGAAGGCAAAGGGGCACGCAGAGGAGCAGTGGACGGACGCAGAGACATCCGGTGCGTGCCAGGGACAGGAGGAGGACGCTGACGCGAACTGCGACCACTAGCGCGAGCAGCACGAACAGGTGACGCGGGACGAGACGCAGGCTCACGACGCTCAGCAAGACCTCCAGTAGGACCAGTGTAAGGAGAGGGAGCAGGCAGTGGAGAGGAAGGCTCCAGCAGGGACTGCGACTGGACAGGCGGTGGACCCTCTACTAGAGGAGAAAGACCAAGAACCTGCTGCAGGAGCGGAACGAAGTACGGCCGAGGCCGCGCGGCAGCTCCAGACTCAGCAGGGACAGCACCACCACCCTCAGCGACAGCACCAGTGCCACCCACACCTCCAGCGGCAGGACCAACAGCAGTAGGCTCAGCACCAACGCCCTCAGCATCTCCAGCTCCAGGAGGACCCGCAGGTCCAGCAGCTCCGGGACCGGCAGCACCCGCACCCTCGACGGTCGAAGAAGCTCCAGCTCCAGCTCCAGTAGCACCTCCGGACGCAGCAGCACGCCTCCAGCGGCGAGCGAACCACTCGCGCAGCTCCTGTGGAGAGAGGGGCTCCCGGCGAGACGCAGCAGCAGGAGAAACCCCAGGCTCAGCAGCTCCAGACGCAGTACCCCCAGGCTCAGCAGCTCCCAGCACAGCACCCCCAGGCTCAGCAGCTCCCGACCCAGCACCCCCAGACCCAGCACCTCCAGGCACAGCACCCCCCGGCTCAGCACCCCCAGGCTCCGCACCCTCCGCAGTAGCACCCTCAGGCCCAGCACCCCCAGCAGTAGCACCCCCAGGCTCAGCACCCCCGCGCACAGCACCCCCAGAGTCAGCACCCCCAGGCTCAGCACCCGCAGCAGTTCCAGAGTCACCAGCAACCTCGACCGGCTCGACTACGTCTACCTGGGACACACCTGAGGGGGCAGGAACCTGAGGGGGGAGGGGGTCTACCGGGGGGGGAACCGGCACAAGGAAGTCCGGGGGAGGGGGGAGGGAAGGAGTGCGGTAGGGGAAGAGACGGTAGAAGGGGACTGACTCGTCGAACGTGACGTCCTGGGAGGACAGAACACGACGAGAGGAGGGGTGGTAAAACTGCCACCCTGGGGCGTCAGTGGGGAAGCCAAGGAAGACACAGGGAGCAGCACGAGGGGACAGCTTGTCCGCAGACAAGTCGCGGACAAACGCCCGAGATCCCCAGACACGGAACACAGACGCATCGCCAACCTTCCCCGTCCACAGCAAGGCTGGGGACATCGCAGGCCGAGAGACCCGGGGGTGAAGGTTGAGCTGATGCGCCGCGTACCTCACCGCAAACGGCCACAGAAAATGGGGGGCAGCCGCATGCATCATGGACGTACGAGCGACATCCATGACCATGCCAATGCGGCGCTCAGCAATCCCATTTTGCTGTGGTGAGTCCGGAAGCGTGAAGGTCTGGCGGATCCCCCGCGCACGACAGTAGTCCCGCAGAAGGCGAGAAGAGAACTCTCCGCCTCTGTCCGAGTGCAGACGCAGAACAGGAAAGTCCGAGCCGAAGCTCTTCCTGAGCTGGAGACGAGCCTCGCGGATCCAGTCGATCAGCACCTCAGTGACCGCACCCTTGCTGCGCAAGGGGAGGACTGTGGTGTAACGCGAGTAGTCGTCAACCACCAACAGGAAGTAGCGCTCGTATCCCTGCCCACGGACGGGGGCTGGGCCCCACACATCCATGTGAA